GGCGTGGAAATAAGGTTAGTCGGTGTGAGCGACGAATGGCGGATCTTTCTCTCGGTCTCGTTCCGGAACACAATACGACAACATGAGATATGAAAAGGGCTGGTCTGGATTATCACTTCTGATCGGATTCTAGTTGTCTCATTCCCTGTTTACTGGTGTCTTGTCTCTTAATAAAGACTCGTGTTCTAATATGCACATATTAACATGCTAAATAACTGGGTAATAACCTATTTTTCCTCGGAAATAGTTATCCTTTCTTGAGATTCTTACCTGCTCGTTCTCTTCGGAGTTAAGCAAGTTACAAGGTATCTTTAGTTCTTAATGAATAACTCGAGCCTGTCTGAAGCGATCGGTAGACTCGTCGGATGGGCATCGAGGTTGGATCTCGTTGCCACAGGTGGGAAGTGCATCCTAATTGGTCCGAGCTGAGGTCTCTCCATGATTGCATATGTGGAAGAAAAGCGGAACAATCTCCTCTATCGTGAAAATGGACTCGTCCACTAGCGGAGCTTAAAGCTCTCGTGATCCGCAGGACGCAAAATCACGAGCACTGAGAGCCAGGCAGCACTTCCTCGACTCTAGAGCCCTCTACGCCCTCCAACGGAAGCTATAAAATAAGATATTTCACATATTTGGTATATGTGTATATCCTATTATCCAGTTATTTGATCACCCAAACCCCTCGGTCTGACATCATCTCGCTTTGCCATACAAGACGGTACAGCCGAAGGGTTTTCCAAAAGAAAGAGAATGGATATAGTGTACTGGAGACCACTATCTCTCATATCAAGTGTAGAGTGAAAAGTTTGGGGACGTATATGGTATGGGTGACGTGAAAAACTGGTTCGCACAGCGGTGATCGTCCCTCTCGCTAGGCCACCTAGCACGAACCAACGTCCTGAATGTACCCACATAGCGTGTTTAGAAGTCAGATATCTGATTCGGACGCGAGTTTCCGAGAGCGACCCTGACCTTGACTCAATCGACTGGAGGTAACAACCCTCACAGTTCAGATACCTAGCACCAAAACGTTTATCCACACATCTACGTACATTCACCAACAAGACATCTGTTCTACTCGGACGCAAAGTCCTGAACGCGACCCTTGCCCTCCTCAATGGACGAAGAAACAACTGCCCCCTATCAGTACGGCTCTCCCAGCACCAGAACTACTCTCTGTGAATCCACATGCATTCACCAACAACTCTTCCGGTTTACTCGGCCGCGAGTTTTCGCAAGACAAACCAGTGTCCCACTCAGTCGACTAGCCAGAGACAGCAGCACGCCTTCACCCCACAGCACGTGGAGGACAATCTCCAAGCTTAGCAGGGTTGAAAAAACACATTGCTCACTTTTTTGACAGCACAAAATCTAATTCAACCCAACCAAACGTAAATTTTTCCTTCTACTGACAAATTGGTGATGGGAGAAGACGTCTATGATTCGACGATTCAAACCCTAGGCCACGATGTGAGATTCCAAAGAACCAAGAAGACTAAAAGAACTTGATTTCAAAAACTCGAGTCCTCGTGTCTACTACAAAGAGACGCGTGCCCATGTCATCCTGACCTCGAGGCGTTCTGCATCGCAGCTAGGAAAATTTTACTACACTACACCACAGATTAGAAATCAGGATATTCAAAGTTGGAAAGGGTCCTTCTGAGCGCCACCGGTAGCGATGGGAGGGCATAGGGCCCGTCGACGGCTCCCCCTCCTTCTCTCGCCGAAGAACTGCGCCTCGTTAAACGTTCAACAAATTCCGCGCACGAGCTTAGTGCGCGTGCGCCATCTATCCTTTCTGGACGATATTATTCGGGACATTTTCTGATGAATCAGTCGTATGGGAGACTGGGGCTTTTGATGACAAGAGTCTTCGCAGCAAATGATGGAGTCGCGTTTTGGTAATATGTCGGCAGAGAGACGGCATCGGAGATTAGATACGATCGTCATTGTACGGTCGGGTATTCTACGCTTAGAATTCACATGAAGGTGCAATCGTGACGTTGATCGGGATGACAGGGAATGGCGTATGTTGTTGGGCAAGATACGAGATGCGACGTTGGGGAAGCTCTAGTTCGGCTAAGGAGGAGAAGGGAGTGGAATAGATCGGGTAGGTGGTCTCACTCGCCCGGCTGGGGACTTGATAGGCAGAGACGGTCATCCAGTGATAAAGCTGCGCTCGCTCGGCCAGGCGTTCTCGAGTGTACAAACGTCACCTTTGCGGAGTTGTAAATATGTAGATAAGTATCTCATTCACCACCCTTCCTCTTTGTTTGTTTGGAGGGAGCGTAGAGGAGGGGGAATACATTCGGCTAGCCGAGATAGTACGGGGGATTCGACCAACCTTATTATCAGCTAGTTCAGCGTACGTGAGAATATAATATAGAAAGCTGTTATCATTATGCTACGATAGGGAACAAGCTATTGGGGACACTAGCCAGAGGGTGAGGTAATAGATAAGGGGGAGGCGTGGGCTTCGAGGTCGGGGCGCTGGTAGCATGGCGAGGCGTTAGTTGGTCCCGTGGAAGAGATCAAAGAGAACAGAGAGTTGAATAATCCATTGTCGTCCTCTTACACTCTGGCCAGAGGCGCGGAATCAAAGCCACGATTTGTGCGCGTGGAAGGGTTTTCCAAGGAGATGCCTTCTAGGAGAGAGGAGGATCGTAAGTGACTGATGGAGGCAGGGTCCCGGACTGGCTCATCAAACATGGCCAAAGTAAAATGTCAATATACATGTGGCATTGTGAGAATATTGCGGGTGTTGCCTGACCCAGCTATCCCATCGAGGGCCTGGCGAGGACGTCGAAAGTGCAGCAGCGGTGTCTGTGGACAGCATAGTGCTTGTGCACTAACGGCTATAGCGATACCCATGATCCGAACCGAATTGCTCATTAAACCAGTGTTTTCATGAGACGGGATTATCGTGCAGAGCAGTCAATAGCACATGCTAGGCCACCCTCCCCCTCGCCCCTCGCCATATGGATCACATAATAATATGTATCCAGACTAGACCGAAAAGTGGGATTATACGTGCGTGTGAACTGGCCTCGTCGTCGACCACGACACCGATCCGTGGCGAGCACGTAGATCTAGCATGGCTTTGATTTATCCCTGACGTTACATTGACGGTTTGGTGGGTGACGTGCCGTGCCGTGCGGTCGGCGGTGGTCTCCGTTGGACCCAACGAGGATAGATTGTCCAAATTGTCCAACAACCATCAGGATAACAACTGCGAATAATACTTATTGTGACAGGAATCGGAGCTATAGGAGGCGCAATTTGGCCTGTTCTTAATGCGAGAGAAGCTCCAACACCCACACGTGCGACTCGCCATCGATTTAACCAAAGCTGGCACCCCAATGTGAGTCCAATCGGTGTGTCTCCGATGAGGTACTAGCAAAAAAGGACGTCGCCCACCGTTACGATACACCTCGAGCGCTGTTACGAGATCGGTGCGATCGTTATTAGGCGTGGGTGGACACACTAGGCCCCTTGCGAGCTTAATGTGTAAAAAAAGGGAGGGGCGTGTGATGCGATGTTCGTACCAATTCGATAGATGTTAAAAACAAGGTTAAAGGATCATGTACTCGTCACGCCACTGGACCTGGAATTGAAAAATAACAAAATTGGATTTGGTAAGGGTGATCCGTGACCTCGTCACACGCAGCGCTCCCAAGCAAGTGGGAGAGTGCGCAAAAAGGGGGAGAGAACGAGTGTCGAATGGGAATACAAATCACTAGACTCTTCAGGGATGATCAGATTCTGTGTGGGGAGGGCAGCGTTGGTCGTTTGATTCTTTCGAAGGACGAGTCGAGCGCAAGACACCCAGAGGCAGCGAGAAAAGGGAGCCGCTGCCTCTCCTTTTTGCACTTGATCCTCATAGAGAATGATGGCCAGCTCACGTGCATCCACATCACATATCATTCTCTTGCATCCATCTTCATACAGACCTCTCCAGTGGACTGGCATCTAAGTTGGTGGCTTGCGGCAATTCCTAAAATTCAAAGAGAAAAACCCCAGTCATCTCTGGTGATGCTCAAGCGTGCTACACGGAGAAGGGGAAGGGGCCCCTCGCGGAAGGGACGGACGCAACGAACGACTGCGTTGGAAATTCCCCCAGACCGTCAGGGAGAATCATAACGCTGAGGCGTCCGTGTTGGACAAGATAAGCAGCACGAACGAGCGTCTCTCTCGCTCTCTCTCTCTCACTATCGTGTCCACGCCACAGGTGCCAGTCTAGGGGAGGTAGGACCACAGAGATACAGATTCAACTTCAACTTCAATCTGCCATGCCTTTTTTGCGTTTCCCTAGGGCCCTTCGAATAAGGGAGATCGCGTGAAAATGGCAGACATGTCTCGGTGACATTAGAATATTAATTTTTATCAATTTTGCAAGAGCCATCTCTACGTATTTTACTTTCCTTACGTGAAGCTTGTCTGGACCTCGAAAGCCATTTGCCCAATCAGGTTCAGCCTTTGTCCCTTGTATACAACCCTCCCTTTTTAGCTACCTCGGCGGGCCTCATGTTTGGGTACGGTCTCTCAGGTTTTTCGAGACGGAACTCGGAAATGGCAAGGTCTGTAGCACGCGTTATCAAGGAGAGAGACTGCGGGATATATTACAGGGGAAAGGACAGTTTTCGATAGGGGCTTTCTTCAGAACAGCTGTAAGCGAACTAATGTGCTCACAAAGCAAGCACGTGTAGCCATGATTAAATATTTATTTTAATATTTATTTTAATAATTAATTATTTACGATCCACGACTTTATATAACTGAATCCTTCCGTGGCATGTAACTCTCCGTTATAGACACAAACTTCCCCCCTCGCTCACCCTTTCTGGGACTCGATTGGATCACTTCACACCTTGTTCCGCTGCAGGTTGATCTCCAACCATATCTCTCCTCCGCGATTCTGCATTTGCTCTGGCTCCCACTCGCACTAGCCACCCATCTCTCCTGCACATCATCGGTGCACCCTCGCTGATTGAACCAGTCAGTCAAGCCTTTCGTCGCCTACCCACCACCATTACGCGAGGCAGCTAACCTTGTAGACAGGGCTAAAGATAACTCTATCTACACTTCCCCCCCTTTTTCTGTCCTACGCGACAAAACCTGATCAAAAAGAATCACCCCCAAACCGCGCGAGAGCGATCAAAACTGTCGAGAGAAAACTGGATACCAGCTATCCCAATCAACACTCGTGAAACAATTCTCGTCTCCTACGCTGGCCGAGTTGGATCAAACCAGACACCTGCTACAATTGCATAACACACTTGCTCGCCCCCCTTCATCCACGCATCGCTCCTCGCCCGTCATCCTCATCCCCGTGACTACACGATGAACAACGAATTCATGTCTCCGTACGTCGTTTCTTCTCCTTTTTCTTCCTGTTGACAGTTGGCCTCTTGCTCGCGCGAGCGACCTGACGGTCCAATTCATCCTATCCATCTCCACCTCTCCATTAGCCCCTTCCCAACTAAAAAAAAAATTATTCACCACCTACACCGCCGAGCCTAGCATGCGTATATTTTAATTCGTTTCGCTAAAGAAACAATTTTTTTAATACGACGCATGGCCCATGCCACAACAACAAAATGGCCCTTTCACATGGCGAATTGAACACGCATTGCCATGTCCATTTTCCATCGCCTTTTCTCTCGCTCCCTAGGAGCGAGCCAAGGGGGATATAGGGCCGTAGGGGGGAGACGAGAGAGTGACTCTGTGACCCACCCCCTTGAATTGTCTTCTCAACTCTGTCTTCCCTTCTGCCTTCTTATTCTCTGCGCTCGCACCAAAACTATTTATTAACTCGCTCCTTTTTATTGCCCTCCCTTTTTTCCTCTCCCTGAACCCCCTTCTACCAGACTCATCGCCGACTACCTGAACCCAGACGATCTGGTTGATCTCCATCAGCCGCAATCCAGTAGCGATCCGTTTTCTCAGTCCCCCATGTCACCCGTCCCCAGTACGGCTTCGACACCACCCACCTCTGCACCGTCCACCGCTGCTGCTCTTGCCACCACCGCTTCGGGATACCCTACATCCGTCATCCCCGCTCCCTATCACTCCATGAATCCAACGACGAGCGCGATTGCCGGGACTTCCTCCTCTGCGTCCTCGTTTACCGGACCCGTCTCCCTCTCGACCGCCCCTCACTATGGAGGAGGTGGAATGCCTTTCCCGCGTCGAGCAGAATTCTCGTACGCGCAAAACATCCACAACCACCCGTACGGATATTCACCGACACCGACGATGATGGGCCAACCTCAGTTGCCTCGACCGAGAACCTTGCAGATGCCCGTCGCACCGCTATTGCAGACACAGCAACAGCAACAACAGATGCTTCAACAGCAGCAAATGATGACTCCGACGTCCGCCACGACGACGACGATGGTCCCCGAGATCCCATCGTCCGCGCCCGACGGTCCTCCGACCGGCGCTGGTGGTGCGAGGAAAAGACCCAAGTATACACGGTCCAAAAAAGGTTGCTTGACCTGTCGCTCCAAGAAAATCAAGTGCGATGAGCGTCATCCCATTTGCACACGCTGTGAACATGGTCACCGGGAGGTACGTGATATTTGCTTCGTCATTGCTCCCATACCATACCTCCCTATTACTTTTTTTCTTTTCGTCCCTGCACACTTCGTAGTCTCCATGAGAGGGCCCAGTCGTACTTCTCGGCCCAAAACTTTGTCATGGAATCCATGTGCCTATCCCTCATTCCCTTTCCCTTTTATCGGATTATGACATGTATACTTACTTTTTTCTTGGTATTTCCAAATTCAGTGCACATGGCCCGAAGCTGTTCTCCCACGTCGTCCCAAGGGCGCCATGAGAGGCATTGGGGGCGAAGGTGACGAGGAAATAGGGCTTGTTGACGAAGAAGAGCGGCGTCAGAGTATCCCTGGATCCGCTGTGTCTACCCATTTCCCCCCACCTTCCTCAACGACAAGTAGCCACTTCCCTGGCATTTCCAACAATTCTCCATTCGAACCCGCCCCTCGGAGAGATGCGTTCGAATCGGATGGATTCCCTGCTGGTTCTCAATTTTCGTGAGTATGACATGTCCCATTGTTACACCTCTTCCTTTTTCCTCCCCTGGATCAACGATCTTATCTCCCATGACCAACAATGACCTCCTCCTCCCCCTTGCCCGTGATTTATCCACCCCCTTTTTTTAACCTAAAATGAAAAATGCCGTCAAGCTAACAACTCGCCCGTAATTTAGCGTGCCTGCACTCCCTGCAAACAACCGACCCTTCTATCCAAGGCAGATGGGCGCTGCCGCACTACCATCCGGCGAGTTTTATCCAGTAACTGCTGTCAACGGGCAACCAATCGATGAGTATGAATTCCCTCCCCGACAAACATTCGGCACCGGAGCTTCTTCGTCCGCAGCAGTAGCAGCAGCTGGTCGTCCGACGTACCCCAATGGAACCTTGTATCCAGGCGCTGGTGCACCGTCTTCCTCTGGCTATGCCGCTGATTTACGTCGAGCCAGTTGGGACTCGTCAGCAGCAGCAACCGACGCCCGTCGTCCAAGCTGGGATGCGAGTGGTGCGCACGCTTCTTCTGTCAGCTCCCCGGCAAGCTCCGTGGTTGGCTTAGGCCTCACTGGTGGCAGTGGCGGGGCACGTAGTGTCGGCAGCAGCGCCGGAAACACCACGGCAGGCAGCTCCATCTCGGGAAGCATGGGTGGTAGTGGTGTACCTCCTGGTGGCTTGATGCTCTTACATTCTCCTGATCCGCTCTCTCCCTTTTTCCGCTCGGTTCAAGAACGAAATCTGGTGGGAAATATTTCTTCTTTTGCCATTTCCTCTGCTTCTTCTTCTGCACCTTTTTTGAAATTGTACCCTTCCCCTCTCTCTTCCGACTCGTCCTTGACTCCTCGTCTTTCCCTCGCCGCTTCCTCCTCCGCTTCCACTTCCTCCTCCGATCTCTCTTCCTCTATCCTTCTTGCCACGCAAAACCTAGGCACGTCGTCGCCCGTGCTGAGCACCGCCTCCAGCGCCGAGTTTGGTGTTGATGCGTCAGGGATGGCCTACCGCCGGAGCTCGTACCCCCACTTGTACGCCGATCCCCAGCCGCTCACGATAGACCCGCCTGTCCCTGTGCCTCTACAGGGCATTGATCTCTCTGGACCCTCTGTGGACCTGTTTGGCCTCGCTTCAGCCACAACAGGCCCATCAACTGAAAATGTAGAATGGCTCGCTCCACCTTCTGTCGATATTTATAAACCTCTTGCTTCACCGGAGGAAGAAGAGTTTATTTCATGGAGCGCCTATTCATAGACTTTTTCCATCGGAGTGGGTTTCTCCTCCGTTTCTCTATCTCTCCTCTCCCCCCTCTTCCTCTCTCGCTAGAAAAGGATAGGGAAAAATCATTGCAGGAGTGGTGTTTGTTCTCGTGTCTCTCTATCTCTCATCAAAAAGAACGGACCTTTTTCCCCTTCGTCGTCAGTCTAGTCAAGTTATTATCACACACACACATCCACACATCATACATTCATCACGTCCCACAAATACGAACTACGATACGATATTACACGGTCATTTATTGCACCATAACTTTTATTCCGCACCTCCTCGAGAAGAGCTCCTTTGGGGAAGAGATTGTTCCTTGGTTCCGCTGAGCGTCCAGTTTCAATTTCACTCCTCCCCTCTTTCCCCGTCCTCCCCCAACCTTCCTCAACCCTCTTCTCGTCCTTGCTCCCGTTCCTGGTCCGTCGTCATCATCGTCGTCGTCAAAACAGTCGAAATATACTTTACTAATTCGCAAAGAATCATAATAACTATCTCTCCTTATTTGACTCTTCTCGTGCGAGTGTGACAAAATCGTATCGTATCTATTTCCTTCTCCTCTGTGGCAAGTGACGCAAAATAGAGAAAAAGACTCTTAGACGGAAAATCCAACTCCTAGGCTATTTCGAAGGGTCCTTCACTTAATCACGGACACGCCCTTGTTCCTTCCTCCCCAACGCCCTTGAAGAAGAATCCCAGCGCGATATCTATTCAAATGTCGAAAAGAAGCTTTCACCCATTCAAACTTTATCGGATCGTATTCTCATTGGCTCTCCTTGTCGATTGTCGAAGGGGCGTCCACGCTACCTACGCTTAGGAGGTGGCCACTCCCCTCTCTCCACGTTCCCGACGCACGCAACTTCCCTTTCGACTGACAAGCTCCACCTGGATACGATCTTTCGGTCTTCCATCGCATCGCAGCTTCTGTTTGTGAGACGCGACTAGCCCCCCAGATGAGAACACCTCTGGGAGAACACCCCTTCTCGCACGGGCGTTAGCATCGCCGACCGGGGCTATTGCGGCGAAGAACAGGAGATGGCGGAGAAAGGGATATGTCACTGCAGATAGGCTACGGGGACAGAGAGGGAAATGATAGAGATACACAGAGAGAGCGGCATAACCCTACCCTTCCCCTCCTCCCTTGCGTAATCAGTTTCCCCACGACCCATCACATCCCTTGAGACTCATTTTGTCGTCACCATAACTCATTATACAACTTCTTTCACTTCACCTTATCTATCTATTACATATACTTATTATCTTCTTTTCGATCCCGAATCACATTCCCTAAGAAATTCTATTTTCATTGCATTCCCTTTTTTTTTTACACTCTTTTTTCCTTTTTCTCTCTTATGATCTGCGTTATTGAAGTCG